GAAGGGTCTAGGCCCGAAACGTCAGCCTTCCTGCTCCTATGATGCTGCTTGGCCTGTTGTGTTCATCCAGCTCTGCACCTTGTTGTCTCGGATTCTCCAGCATCTGCGGTTCCTACTATCTCTTATTAAATGTGTGAGAAGGTTTGCTGAAAGCTAGACCGAATTCTAATTCCTGAAGCCATTGCAATGTTAATCGGCAAGTGAAAAATCAGTCTCTACAGGATATTAACTTATAACCTGCACTGACTATTCCAAATGCTGCTGATCATGTCCAGTGAGTGTGGATGAACAAATAGAGATTGGTTGAGAGGTCAGCAGCAAAATGGGAGTCAGAGAAAGGAAGGTGCATGTGATTTGCTGAGGGGTCCATAACAGATGGATCAGTTTGGGCCAGTGTGTTTACACATGCAAAGTCATCCATTGTGACTCCCGATGCACTCACCAAATCTTCAGCCATGAGAACAGTGACCAAAGCTCTTCATCTTATCTACAAATACATACAGTACACAATGCTTTTTGTGGCAGAGGGCTCTGCAGAACTAGTCAATGTTTAAACACTTGATCCCAAATCATTCTGTACTTTAAAAGATTTTGAAATAAAAATGTGCTTGAACAAACTAGAAGTAAAGAAGCCTACTGTGTTCATCCAGCTCCACACCTTGTTATCTCAGACGCCAGCATCGGCAGTTCCTACTATCTCTAGAAGTAAAACATGCTTGTTTCAAAACAATATTAGTCGATTGGTTCCTCATTCCAGATAGCATTCAGTCATCCAGGCCAGTGAGATCTCAAAGAGTCACAGTCATAGAGATGTACAGCACGGAAGCAGACCCTTCGGCCCAACTTGTCCATGCTGACCAGATATCCTAAATTAATCTTGTTCATTTGCCAGCATTTGGCCCATATTCCCTCTAAACTCTTCCTATTCATATATCCATCCAGATGCCTTTTAAATGTTGTAATTGTACCAGCCTCCCATCACTTCCTCCAGTGGTTCATTCCATACATACACCACCCTCTGCGTGAGAAAGCTACCCCTTAGGTCCCTTATAAATCTTTCCCCTTGCACCTTAAACCTATGCCACTACCCTGGGGAAAAGATCTTGGCTATTCAGCCCATTCATGTCCCTCAGGATCTGTAAGTTCTGTATTTCTGAATATTGCTGAGTTCATCTGGGGTAAAGTGTTAAAAATTGTACACAGCACCTTTTGGCTAGGAAGGCTTTTTTTTTAACAAACAATATCCTGGGCCCCTCTAGAGTAAGTCTGAATGCATTTCCTCAGACTTCCTCTGCTGAATGCCAAAACAAATGAGGAAAGTTCCAGAAATTTTGTCTTCAGTAGGTTAATGATGCATCTGGGAAGTTTCACCATTTCCCCTTCTCCCTTCCCACTCTGCCTTTATGTTGCTGAAGACTATTCTGGTGGGTTCCCTGCAGCAAGACCGCAATGCACTGCCAAGGGACATTGAAAGCAGCAGAACCATTTCAATGATGAAACATTTGGCATCCGGGTGGATACAGACAAAATCCTTCACAAGAAACAAAGTCAGGCCTATAATGAACACTGCAGCAAGGCATAATTCCTCTGTAGCAGGCCCAGGCAGCACCAGTAAGTGGGGGGAATGAGAGAGGGTTTCTCTATGCTTCATGCACAGACACAAATTCCAGGAAAGGGAGTCAGGGTCAAAGACCTCTGGGCTTCCTGTGGATCCCACATATCTCTGGCGGGAGCGGGGACGCGGGCTGCACTCTGTTCCTGAGTTGGTTGCCCCTCAATTGAGAGACCAGTGACCTGCTGCTGCTCCTGGCCTTCCTGGTCCACTGCCTTCACCTTCTTAGGAAGGCGACTACAGCCAGCAGCAGCAGGACCCACGATTCTCGATGGCAATGACCTCTGTTGGGAACGGCACAGTGGCTCAGTGGTTAGCACTGCTGCCTCACAGTGCCAGGGATCCGGGTTCGATTCCACCCTCGGGTGACTGTTTGTGTGGAGTTTGCACATTCTCCCCGTGTCTGCGTGGATTTCCTCTGGGAGCTCCAGTTTCCTCCCACAGTCCAAAGATGTGCAGGTTAGGTGGATTGGCCATGCTAAATTGCCCGTAGAGTTCAGGGATGTGTAGATTAGGTGGGTTATGGGGGTTATTGGTCTGGGTGGGATGCTCTGAGGGTCAGTGTGGACTTGTTGGGCCGAAGGGCCTGTTTCCACACTGTAGGGATTCTATGATAAGAAATGAAAGAGTTTCTTGGCTCTATGAGCAGTCACTGGTGACATACCCTTGAGATAATGGATGAATACAATTCTCTAACCTCTGAGACATGCTGCATCCTGATCGTGAGGGCAATGATATTGTTAATCAACCGGCTCAGAAATGTTAGTACATGCCTCTGGAGCATCTGGGACTTGGAGCCAGGCCTTTTGGATTAGACTGAAAGCCACAAATGCTGGAGATCACAATGGGTCAGGCAGTTTCCACGGAGAGAGAGCAAGCTAATGTTTCGAGTGTGGATGACTCTTCATTGGAGCTGAAGTGAAGTGAGGAGGGGGCAGCATTTATGCTATAGTTGCGGGGGGGGGGAGCACAGATGTGGTGGTGGGTTTGTAGAGTGTTGGTGGAGAAAAGATGTTGATGGTTCAGATTAAGTGATCAGAATTTGAGAATGGCAGAACAATGGTCTGTACCAAAAGATCCTCTTGTCCATCATTCATTTAGCTCCAGCCTGAGCATGTGCAGCAACTTGGTGAAGATGCCATGCCAGATGAGTGACCAACACATTCCATCGAAAGGGAGTGCTTGCTGTGCCCCGACCCTCTTCCCATCTCAGACCCATATCAATCAATTACTCAACTTTTCATTACATTCAGTATTGTCTATTGTTAATCTTACATCACAGACGATGCAGCAATAGTCTGTGTTTCCCACACCACACTTACATGAGTAATGGGGTCCTTTGGCCAGTATTAGCCTCTTTTGAAGCCATTGATAATAACTTCGACATCATTGAGCAGCCAATGTTCAATGTGCAACAACCAATGGAATAGTGCATATCACCTTTGACCACGATTTGATCCCTGATCTCCTTCACGCCACAGGCATTGCAAATGAGGGGTGAAATGATTGCAAGTTAAATGCCACTGGTGTTTGCAAACAGCTGCGTCATGGATTTGCCTCTTTAATGTCCTAGTGTCCAGCTTTTGCTCACCATTGTAATACTGACTGCACTCATCCTCGGTGTTATCCCAGCCATTTTCCAGTTGCATTTCGTGTTTAGTGATGACAATGCATGCACCTCCATTTGGTTGCCAGATATTTACTCCTCCGCCCTGGTCCCAGAGTCTCCATGTGCCATTTTATCCTCACTGTACCCCAACAGCCCATTTCCACCAAACCCACACATATGGAGACCCACCATATTGAACAATTACCTGCGCTGCACTCCCTGCCCCTGAGCCCTGGCTTAACACCCAAATAATGCCCACCCTGCTCGTCTATGCTCCCCCTTTGGAGGGCATCACTGTCCAGATGTCTCTGCTTTCCCCATACAGCCGTAACTCCCTCATCCCTTTTGGCAGTGATCATCACAGGCTCCCCCTTACAGCAAACCCATCCCCAGGTCTATATCTGTCCCAGATCTCTGAATGACCTTGACAAGCAATACTTAGACATGACTGATGAAACCTCTGACCACTGCATTTGCAGCTCCCTGACAGATGATATGTGATTCTCCTCACTGCTGGGGCTGCCCCTACATTGGTTCACTTCCCAGACTGCAGTAGGACAGACCCCCTGAAGGCAGCATCCCAAATCCAGTAAGGAAATGGATGGTGCCGAGCATGCAGGTTGGCGCTAAGTGAGTGACCATGCCCGCAGTGCTGGCGTGCAGCTGGGTTTAATCTGTGAACAGGAACCTGTCCCTGCGCACAATATGTCTTTGCGTAGCCTTTCGATGCTAATTGCTGTTGCCTCCTGTACCACCAGCCTGTGATTCGTAAGTACTGTGTGTTTTGCCAGGTAATCGCTCTGCCTTCCATGTTGAGTTTTGTTGACTTCTGTCTTGTTCAGCATGTTTGATAAGTTAGAAAACTGAATATTATTGCGGTGATTTGCAATGTTCATGGGGCAACTAACAAGTTTTAATCTCGGTCATTTTGCAACTCCCTGCTGCCTAGCAGGAACCTGACTTCGCTGAATGGCAAAATGATAAAAGACGGAGCAAGATGCTCCCAACATTGGGATAGGCCTTCCCGAATGTCTCATCCCATACTGCCACTATTCATGCCATAGCCTGCGGCACACAGACCCCTATGAGATTCCACTTGTAGTGATAGGACTCATCATCCAAGTTACCGAGGTTGTTGCATGTTGCTGCTTTTGTACAGACATGCCAGCTCACTACTCTGTATGAACTGCTACCCACTGTGATGGCTACCACCCCCACCATCCTCTTTAAACATCAGCAATAGGGCCTGCTAGGTGCAGTGATGGAGGGAAGCATTTTCAGCACTGTGAATCTCAAATTAGGGCACAGCTGGCGTTACTGCGCGCAGTGCTGGTCACTTTAAAATAGGTGAAATGTGATTGCCCTGGAGAGGATATAAAGGAGATCCAGACTGTAGAATCCCAGTTAGGAAGAAAGATTTATTCGGCTCGGGCTAATTTCTTTGGAGTATAGGAGGTTGAAGGGAGAACAAATTGAAGTGTAAAAATGTGAGAGATCTAAGTAGACTGGATAGGAAGTCCCCATTTCCCTTGGTTGATGAGTCCATAAACAGGAGCATATATTCAGCATAAGAGGAGTTTTAAGGGAAAGATTTTTCACCTGGAGTGTCATGGCAATCTGTAACTCCCCACCTGAAGTGCAGACCAAGAGCTTAAAAATGGGATTAGGTTGGGTAGCTATCTGTTCACTAGTGCAGACATGATGAGATGATTGGCCTCCTACTGTACTGTCAATTCCTGTAACATTATGCTTTTACATACTGCATCATTTCAGTATCGTACGGTGCAATTTCTTGCGATTTTTCAAGATGAGTATAATATTGTAAATGATGCACTTTTCTGGCCCCAGCTCAACTTAACTAATCCACTTGCACCTGGTTTCTCACATAACTCAATTTCATCCATTTCTTCTGCACAGATATACTGGAGGTGAAATTGAAAAAATGTCAGCAGTGTAGAACAGGCTAGTATCTAGGGGAGCACTCAAATTCATGGGGAGAGATAAGGCAATGTTCATGAGTTGATTTAAGGGACAGTTTTATTTGGTATGTGGGATGAACATGTGATGATTTCTGTCTTGTATTAACTTGTAAAGGCTATTAGTAAAATATTTACACTATTGCATTGCCTCTGGTGATTGCAACAGGCACAGAACTCCATTACTCTCAACCTTTTCTGAATGATTGCATCATCAATGGAAGCAGGCTAGAACTGCAGCAGACATAGGCAATAGCTATATTTTTCCAGGCCCTGATTTAGCTAAAGTGCAGAATGCCCTCTGACTTGTTCAAGCATTGGGATTATTGTCTGAGGATGCCAAAAGTATGTTGCACCATACCCTTGATGGGCTGCATAGATTCTTCCTAAGCTCTTGAGCCCTGTATTAACCATCAGCCTAATGTCAGGACAGAACATTGGTCCCCCAGATGTCATATTTCTGGAGTCTTGTTCCTTCAAATAAAACTGGCACAAAAATAATGACAGCTTTCACAAATTATTGCAAACATTCTTTTTTGTAATCTTGTTTATTTAATATATTTTGTTTGGAAAGTCTAACAAAAGAGAAGACAACATGTTAGTAGGTTATTAAATCATTGTCATTTAATTGATTCATTAGAATGTTAAATGCTGAAAACATGATTATTTTTGTCCCATCACCTGAATATTACAACATGGCTGAAGCACACACTTTTGCATCTATATGAAATAGCAAAGGTAATTTCATGATATTTGGAAGTTTTTACTTTTTTAAAGTAGATTACTTACTTTATTAATTGATTTGTAAAGCATATGAAATAGCAAGAAAAATTGTTTTCCCAACAAATTTGTTAAAATATTTTAATTTATCAAAATAATTTTACATCCCTGATATTTAATCTAAATACCATGCAATTAAAATACCACATCGAACCTTAATGCGATTCTGCTTCATCAATGATGTTTCCTCATTCTATGCTATTCATTTGCAAATCATTTACCTTGCCCTCCGCTACTAATAAGACAATTTAAAATAATATTGCTTGTGTGGAATGTGTCTTAAAGCCAGATAGTTTGGATTAAAATAAGTAGATAAGATTGATTTTGGACAAGTGCTTTCCTTTATTCTCCGGAAAATGAACAATTTCAGGTTGGCTGATTTGCAACTGAAGTTCTGTAGGACTCAGATGTCCTCACGACTAGAAATGGAATTTCTTATTAAACGCTTGGTGAATTTGAGAACTATCTGAGCTGTGAAGGAATTCTTATTTCCATTTTTTCTTCATCGGGTAATAATATCAAAAGATGTGTATATAATCATCATTTAAAATTCAGCTTTGATGCCAATTAGAAATCAAATCAAATTGTTTTCATGGAAGCTATTTGTAGATTTGTATGGAATCTTTGAACCTGTAATTGGTCCAACATCACAAATTGTAATAGTCCTTGTCTGCTAGTAAATCAGAACCATATATATCCTCCTTTTCCTCATACAATAGTGACAAATCAGGTCAGTAACTAAAATTAAAGCTTCCACTCAAACAGATGATTCTACAGAAAAAAAGATAAACAGCTTTTCTGCTGTTTATATTTGAACTTCCCTTTACTATTATTGGAGACATTTATGTGCACTCTTCATTCTCATTGAGTTCTAACATTTGAATAATATGATATAAAATGACAAAATAAGTCACATTTATGTAAAATACACATCCAAATCTAGCACATGAAGTTTGACATTTTTGGATTAGAGCTAATATTTAATAAAACAAAACTCAACTCACATTAAGACATTTCAATTGGTTCCTTATTTTCTATCTGATATTCCAAAATATTGCAAAAGCCATAACCTATATATATACTATTTGCTAAGAAATGTAATATGAGAATTATCAAAGGAACTGCCGAGTGTATTGGTGTAGAACTTCTGATTTTCCATTCTGTATAACCTATGGGAGAAAGTGATTTAATTATAGCAATGCAGGTCATGTGCATTTTTATGATAGTGCAATTCACAGCTCTTGTCAAAGTAGATTATAAATAAATACAGAAATGTTAAAAAAAACTTACAGCATTATACAGCTAGAAAGATCTATTTTGTGCAATTATTTATGACTGTCTAACATTCATTGTTAATATTTGATTATGATCACAGAACAATCATTTGGAACTGAGATAGTAGGAACTGCAGATGCTGGAGAATCTGAGATAACAAGGTGTAGAGCTGGATGAACACAGCAGGCCAAGCAGTATCAGAGGAGCAGGAAAGCTGACGTTTTGGGCCTAGACCCTTCTTCAGAAATGGGGGAGGGGAAGGGGGTTCTGAAATAAATAGGGAGGGGGGAGACAGATAGAAGATGAATAGAGGAGAAGATAGGTGGAGAGGAGACAGACAGGTCAAAGAGGCAGGGATGGAGCCAGTAAAGGTGAGTGCAGGTGGGGAGTTAGGGAGGAGATAGGTCAGTCCAGCGAGGACAGACAGGTCAAGGGAGCGGGATGAGGTTAGTAGGTAGGAGATGGGGGTGGGGCTTGAGGTGGGAGGAGGGGATAGGTGGGAGGAAGAACAGGTTAGGGAGGCGGGGACGAGCTGGGCTGGTTTTGGGATGCGGTAGGGAGAGGGGAGATTTTGAAGCTTGTGAAGTCCACATTGATACCACTGGGCTGCAGGGTTCCCAAGCGGAATATGAGTTGCTGTTCCTGCAACCTTCAGGTGGCATC